TCCCAGTGTCGGGGTCCTGTTCATCAAATGCCTTCCAATTGCACAGGTCAGGTGCACACCTTACACCTTCACAGAACTCTGAGGGGTGAAAAGGGAGATTTTACTTGTGTTCCTCATTCAATGGACAAGTATCAGTATCTGGGTGCCCCTGTGGGCCAGGCAGTGGGACCAGAAGCCAGCAACATAGATGGGCTTGGATCTGATGCTAGGGGCGTAGAGTGAGTTGTGGGGAGCAGGCAGGGAAGGCCTGAGTGAGAGGCGGGAGGGCTGAGAGGGGAGGGTGTTGCGCTGCTGAGGGGGGTGAGGGCCTGAAGGGGGAGGTCAGAGATCAGAGGGCCCTGGAGGACAGACTGCCTCTCGAAGCTGTACCCAGAGGCCTGGCCGACTTGACTGCAGAACCCTGTGACTGCCATGTTATCAGGCCAGGCAAGCAAAGGCAGGGGCCAGGAAGTCCGTAGGGACAAGAGGCAGGCTGCTGCTTATTCAGCCCAAATAACACTCCTGAGAGGTGGGCACAGGTGAGGTCAGGGAAGCTCAATGAAGATGGGCCAGCACCTGGTCCAGGCCACACACAACCACCTGACCCCGCTGAGCCCACCTGTTGTCTCCGCTGTGGGAAAATGCAGGTGTGGGCAGTTGGCAGTGGGTGAAGGTCAGTGCCCTCCCTGCCCCCTCGCGTCACTCTACAACCCCCCAATCATTCCCCCATCTCCTCTGGCCCCTTGGGCCTGCTCTCCACTCCCCTGGCTTCTGCCCCTCGGCACAGAGCATCCCTGAAGTCCATGGATGGAGCCAGGTGAGCTGGGCAGTTGATGGTGGAGGTGGGATTTGAACCCAGGGCCCTCTGCCCCCTCACAGCCCTCAATATATTGGGCTTTGGACCACATGCCTTCCTTCCCATAGAGCTTTCTACAGGCAGGCATCCCTCCAGGCCATGCAGAAACGTCCTGGGCCCCATTCCCCAGCCTCCTTTGCACATCGAGCCCCCGCTTTCCATGGGGATCAAAGGGCTTGAGTGCCAGCCTGACCCTGGTGCAGTCACTGAGGTCGCTGTCTTGCTGGCCTTCTCTGGGTGCTGGGCCTGCTGGGCCTGTCTCTGCCCCTCTTCCCTCTTGCCTGTCTGATGCAGAGTGACCCATCCCCTTCAGAGCACTTGCTGCTGTGGGGCACCAAGACCCTTCTTCAAGATGAAACGGAGTCTCAGAGAAATGATGAAATAATACGTGATTGTCCCAGTAGATGAACTCATTCTAGGTACTCAGTCAATCCCCAAGACACAGAATCCTGAGGTCCAGGCTGCAGGGAGTTTGGCCAGAGGACACCAGGGCTGACTGTCATTCACATGTCACAAGTACATCAGGGTGTGAGTGACTGCCACTCCTGGACAGAGACTGCCTCCCTTCCTTGTCTGTCTGCCCCTGCTCAAGCCCCTTCTCCCTGGCCTCCCTCTCTATCCTTCCCTTCCTGAAACCCCTCCTGCCATCTCTCTGTCCCCCCCTTGTCAGCTGACTTCTGAGCTGTGTATACAGTCTGGGCTTGGGTCAAGGCCAAGGGCAGCAACAGCCCAGAAAGAGTAAAGTGCCCGGTGCCTGGGGAGATGGGCTGGCTGAGGGGCGAGTGCACAGGGCTCCACCCCCTGGCCACGGTTGGGGAGAGACACTGGCTGCCATTGAGCTACCCTTCTGGACCCCAGTTCTGACCTCTGCCCCTCCTTCCAGATCTGCTCTCGGCTTCAGGCAGTCAGCTGGAGCCCCCTGCCAGGAGGAGGGGTTTGTCTGAGTTCCTGTAGTTCCCGCTTCTGTGCAGCCTGCTGGGCAGGGGGCTGGGAGGGAGGAAAAGGAAGCAGGGCCTAGGGAAGCCCCAGGTTCTGCAAAGAGCTCATGTCAGGGAGAAAAGTAAGGTCTGCCCAGAAATCTCGGGGCTTTCAGAGTTCAGGGATTTTGTAGGTCGTGGGCCTGTTTGTCAGAATGGGACAGGGGTAGTTTCCTTTCCTACTCCGTGGGTGTGTGTGTGGGGTGTGGGTGTGTGTGTTTGGGGGGGTGGGTGTGTGTGGGGGTGTGTGGGGGGGTGGGTGTCTGGCATGGGGCATTAAGGGGGTCACAGGAGGCTATTCAGGATGGAAAGGAAGGCCACGGGGTGGATTTTTTGTCTGGGGGCAGCAGGGGTTCCCCTTTCCCAGTCTCTCGGTCCTCTGGGCACAGCTGGTGCCTCTTCAAAGGCCAGCTTAGGTCACTTCCGCTGCCCACAGCACAGCCCTCCCCCGGCCCCCTGGCGGGATGACCTGCACTCGGGACCACTGCAGCTGAGGCTACCTTTGCTTCTGGGGGTGTGACTTGCTGAAACAGGCTCTTTCTCCGTCCTCCCCAAGACTGCGGGCCTCCCATTAACCCACAGAACGCCTGGTTGCCAATGGGGGCAGGTCGGGATTAGGGGTAGGCGTGTCCCTGACCTGTTACTTTCACACTCACCCACTTGCGTCTCCCCACTTTTTTGGGAGAGGCCCCACTCTCTGTACCCTGATGTCTGTGAGGTACATGGGAGAGGCAGCGTCCATACTCCCCGCTTCCCTTGGGGGTCCTGGGGAGCGGCAGCAGAAAGACCAGAGCGCCTTCGGAGAATTATAACTTTATGTGGGAGGCTGCAGCGCGTCGCACACTTTGGGTCGCCGTCACCGCGGGAAGATGCTGCCATCCACGTTCTCCTCCAGGATGGTCTCCACGCGCCTCCGCTGCCGGGGAGAGAGGCTGGGGCCCGGCGTGTGCGGAGGCGGGCGGGGCCCCCTCCCCCCTTCCCGCCCCTACCGGGGCTTGTCGGCACCTCTTGGCGGTCCAGGGGGTCCGGGATCCGCGTGGGCTTCAGCTGCGGCGGCAGGAACAGCTCCAGCCGGATGGCGGCGCGCGCGGACTTCTGCCGCTGGATGAGCAGCGCGATCTCCTCGGCCTGCTGGGCCCGGGGTCGCTGAGCGCGCGCCCCGCCCCGCCCCGCCCGGTTCCACGCTCCGGGGGCGCCCCCTCCTCCCTCCTGCCCCCCGCCTCGCCTCACCCGCATGCGGGTGTAGCGCAGCCGCAGGGCGCGGACTCGCCCGCGGGCCTCCGCCGCCTTGAGTACGCCGAGGAGCCGGTTCTGGCGCTCAGCGGGCAGCTCCAGCGACTGCGTCCACGTGCGCGGGTCGGGCATGCGGTACCCCGGCTCCGCCGACCCGCACGGGAAGGTGGAGGCCGCCGCGCCCACGTCGTCCAGCAGGTCGCCGAAGAGCAGGTGGCGGTGACGCTGCGCAGGGAGCATGGCCGCTAGCCCCTGCGGCGTCAGGGCCCAGCCCGGCTTGGGGGGCTCTGTCGCGGGCGCCCACTTGGCGCGCCCCTCACCCCGCGCCGCGCCTGGCGCGCTCTTGCCGCTTCGCTCCCGCGGTTCCTTGCGCCCGCCCTCCTTCGCTGGCGGCGGCATCCTCCCGCACTGCGGAGGGAAGAGGGCGTCCCGTCGGAACCGGGGCTGGCACCGGGCCCCTCCCGCCCTCGGCAGGGCCCCACCGTGCGCCCCAGCTCCCGCCCGCTGGGCTCTCCGCAGTGGGTTTTGAGTCCCGCACCCCCAGCCTCTGAGCTTTGCCCAGGCGCTCTCCCTCTCCCGAGCGCACGTCCCCAGCAGCTCTGCCATCGGCTGATCCTGCTCAGTCCTGCAGTCAACTAGAACTTTCTGATCAACTCAGTTGAAGGAAGTATCTTTCCTACCCTACAGACTGTGCTGTTGGAATTGAGAAACTGCCGAGACCACCCCCCACATGGAGACCTCTAGGTGACGCCTGGGGGACCTTCGTTGTGCCCCTATGTCTGCGGTCCCCGACAGTCAGGGTCTCCCACCAGACAGTTGG